CCAGACTCACATTCCCCACCCTATCCCTGAAACCCTGCATTTCCCGTGGCTAATGCACTTAACCCACACATCCCCAGACACTATAGGCAATTTAGTATGGCCAATCCACTTAACTTGCAAATCTTTGGACTGTGGGAGGAAACCAGAGCACCTGATGGAAACCCATGCAGACATGGAGAGACTGTGCAAACTCCACACAGACAGTTGCTTGAGGTTGGAATCGATCCTGGGTCCCTGGTGCTGTGAGGCAGCAGTGCTAACTCCATGTATTTGCATTTCATCATTACATATCTTACCTCATTTATATCCATTTGACCATTTTTCCACATGGTGGAAAATCAGATGGCACTAAGTCCCAGCATAGATGTTCGAGCAGGTATCTGCTGGTCCCAACTCAAGAATCACTTATTCCTTCTGGCTTCCATCTCGGCCGGCATTTTCTAAGTATGTCAGGCACACTCCGTGAGCAAAAACAAACATCTGCAAGCCCCTCCTGCCCCTGTCCATAGAAGTTGGCATTGCTTATGCACCAGCCTCATCACATTATCATGGTCCATCTCTGACTCACTTATGATACAATGCCCCAAGTTCATTACTACACTTTGGACCTCATCAGTACCCCTCATTACTGATTAAATATCTATCTATCTCTGCCTTGAATATACTTAATGGCCATATCATCATACTGGTGACTTAACCAACTGTAAATAATTCCGTTCAATCAATGTACAAATCGTCTATGATTGTTGGTATCATACCTTAGAGATTTTCACCATACACCCTGCACCACAATGCTGATATCTTTCAAAACTCTCAAGCTTTTGTTTCATTTCAAGGGTTGGATGGTTTACAAGGATGGTTGGTGGTAGATGAGGACTACATTGAGCAACCAGGATTGATGAATCCATTATGCAATCACCTGAGTCTGGCCAAGAGTAGAAACAATGCAGCTCATTTTTCAATTGGAGCCATCATGAAGCAGACAATTGGCCTCCTGAAGATGATGTTCTGACACTTGGATCAGTCTGAGTGGTTGAGTCTTACAGGAAGTGTGCTGAATAATCTTTGCATGTTGTGTTGTTCTTAATTCATCCTTGAAAAGATGAAGAGGAAGATGATAGACAGGTACAACATTAGGTGCGACAAACCGGTCAGGACTTAATTGACACCCCCTTCCTATCGATCTGAGTTGTATGAAGAGACTACTCATTGACTGTAAATTTGTGGTTGCTCAAAAAGCTTCTGTTTGGTCCCAGAAGCAATTGCAACTTTTTAAAAATTAGTTCTGCCTTTGCTTTTCCTGTTGTTCAATTAAAGTTATCACTATCAACTGTTTGAAGGCTTTCCAACTTGTATTACTTCAACATGGAGCAATGACATGACATTTTGCTATGCTGGGCTTTAGACAAAGAGTAGCAATATTTCAAACAGGGCCCTAATACAATATGGAACTAAGGACAGGTATCCTCTGTAGCTTCATTTTTGCACTTCCTGTGACATTTGATCAGATAGATGAAGGTGTAAGGAGACAATCCATTTCCAAATGTGAGATTCTCTTTCCAATGAAATGTCACCTGCACCACCTATTTGCCCTCAGAAGGTTTACTTTCTTGGTTCCCTTTACCACTTCAAGCATGCCAGGCTATTCTAGGCTGGCATCATTTGACCCTGTTCATAGACATGCTGAAGTATGGCACTGATTGCAGAAATCCCAGAAGGTACCAGCAGCGGTGAACACTTTCACTGCAGGTGACCACATGATAGCATGAGCACAATGTTGTTGCAGTGTGGGTATATATCTATTGTTTTGCCAACAAAAGTGAACTGCATGAGCTAACCCACGAGAGCTCATGTAGACAAACCCTCTATAAAACTCCCTGAAATCTTTGTAAAATTCAGCGAAATGACTATGGCAAGCTAGTGTATACAATCTTGATATGCTGTTCTCCAAACAGTTGGCTTGATAAGGGATACACGTTGACTAGGGTGTGGTGGACAATTGCCCTGCATTGTGACGTACTGAGATTGTGCATACATTGTTAACTGTAAGTTTTACTCCTTGGCCACCTCGCTAAAACTGTTTCATACTCCCCCTCAAGGAAGAAGCAACACCACTGACGAAAAGAGGCATGCTTTAATTTCATTGGCCATGTGTTGATGTGTGACATGGCAGCATGCTGATAACATCACCTAAAGGTTTAATATTGTTAGAACATTGAGGCCACTCTGTTTATAATTCAGTGTCTGTTTTGTCGAGCTCGATGCATGACTGCATCAGTATCAGAGAGCATTCTATTTTACATCTTATAACATTAAAGATCATTAGGTTTTCCCAACATCCTCAACAACAATAAATAACCATTTGCGTTGCAATTATGGAGTTTGAAGCATTTCAGTGATGTGAACTGCACATTTCTATTTTACACTGCAAGCACCAATGCAACTCGACACACAATGAAAGCCCATGAGGGGGCAACTCACCTTTGAAAAATAATATTTCTAATGGCTCAGGAAATGACAAGGGCTTAGATTAGGTCATCTAACCTCATTCACTGTTAATTAGAAAGATTTGCCCATGTTTTAGATTTTCAGCTGTTTTGTGCACAAAATTTTTGCATTTTTGAGGTAATATCAAGACAACAGGGCATCTGGGATCAAGGAAATATGGTTTTAAATGCTTAGGAATAATCAGAGGAAGAAGAGAAAAGGTGATTGGGTGCATGCAATGTCTGATAAAGTGCAGAAATGGAAATAAAACGGGGAAAATAGACATGATTTAGTAAGGGAGAAAAAGAAAGCGATAAACGATTTAACGCAACATTTGGCATTTTCAAATCTCCATTGGTTCCAACCTGAAGGATAAGACTCCATACTTTTACTTGTTCACTTTCTGGATAAGAAATGTTAATGGGCAGTTATTAAAAATCACCACATCTTTAAATGGGTAATTTAACTACTAATCAATAAACTTAACTTTAACACAAACTAATAGGAAAATGTACGAACTCTCACAGTGGTTACATGCAAGATGCCATTTACACAAAGCTGAAAGCAGAGCAACACAAATCAGTGCAACTTGTGGCAATTTAGAATTCACAGGAATCTTGTTCAATCCAACAATTTCCACAAGAATCTGCATTTATGTGACTCCACCTTAGCAAAAACATGCCCAGTGGTTAGAGCGATGGCATAAAATCCAGTCCACTGTAAACATTCCTCTCTCAATTAGTACAGTCCTGTTTTGACACCATCACCTCGATAACTTGTTATGATCTCTCTACCTTAATTAGTTCGCACAGTTTTGGATTACTTGTTACTTTGGTTAGACCCTTGGCATGTGACTCTTATAACTATCATGATATTCCAACCGTATGGTTTGTGTCCAGCACCATTGTATTTTAATCTTTTGTAGTAATCTCTCTGCCTCAATTAATCGGATTATAGGTCATCCCCTCACTTACTATTCAGCAGTTGACACTTTACTCACACCGTCTGATGCTTTTGATCACCCGCAGAGACTTATGGTTCAGTTTATCGATACTCTATTCACATTATCTGTATGATCTTTTGATCTCTCTGCCCATTGATGTCTCTGCCTATAAATGCTGTGCCTGTGTGCTTTTCTTCACTTCACCTGGTGAGGGGGCAGTGGCCTGAAAGCTTGTGATTTCAAATAAACCTGTTGGACTATAACCTGGTATGCTCTGACTTCTAACCTTGTCTACTCCGGTTCACATTGTGAAATATATAAGCATACAAATTAGGAGCAGGAGTGGTCCATTCAGCCCCTCAAACCTGTTCTGCCATTCAATAAGAATATGGTTGATCTGATTGCTGCCTTCCACCTACTCACAATAACCTTTGAGGAAGGGTCACCGGACCCGAAACGTTAACTCTGTTTTCTTCTCCACAGATGCTGCCAGACCTGCTGAGCTTTTCCAGCAACTTTGTTTTTGTTCACAATAACCTTTTACTCCCTTGTTAGTCAAAAATGTATCCACTCCTGCTTTAAATATATTCAATGAACCTATCTTTACTGTTCTCGGGGGAAGGAAACTCTAAAGACTCATCGTACACTGGAGAAAGAAATTCTCCATAAGTAGTAGATACATTAGTTTTAAGCTGTGTCCCCTAATTCTAATCTCTCCCACAAGGGGAAACATCCTCTCAGCATCCAATTTGTTAAGTCCTCTCGGGATCTCATATGAATGCCTCTTCTAAACTCCAATGGATACAGGCCTACACTGTGTAATGTTTCCTCACAGACCCATAGAATCAGACGGAAACAGACCCTTCAGCCCAATTTGTCCATACCGACCAAGTTTTCCACCCACCACCCCAGGTATTAGTTCTCTAAGCTTCTTCAAATGTGTGCAGCAATGTAGAAAACAGTGACAAGATTATGATTATGATTAAGATTATGACAACTTTACTGTATTCCTTTGCAAAATAGAACGATTTGTGAAAAACATGGTCTTTTTAGTGAAATAACGCACAGGTGATTTTTCTTCCCCCCTTTACCAAAAATATTTTCATTTCTTGTGTTAAAAACTGGGATTAGTGCCTTACACAATATATCTCCTGAAAGGAACAATTTGCAGAAATTGTTTCGAAATCTGATACAGCACATGACATTGTTTTCCCGGCCACTGAATTAATATGGAAAATTTTCATTTTTTTTAGAAAGGGATAGTTTTTTCAAACTGTAACACTAAACACAATTTAAACAACATGCAAAGCACCTGTTTTTAGTTTGGCTTTTGTTATTTCAATCTATTAGACCACTGGTAGCTGATCATTATCTTCATTTTGCGCAGTATTGAATGTCGTAAAAACAACTAGATTTCTTTTTTTTCTTATTCTGGTTTATGTTGGCCACTGTCTCTGCTTTATTG